AAGGTTGTTACCATTATGTATCTCATTAATCCCATATTTTCCCAAATTAATGTAGCTACAGGTTAGGTGTTTATGTCTTAGTTTTAATAAACATAATATCATTAACTGAAAGGAAGGAAACAAGGGGATTAAGGATTAGTCATTGGTTGAGGTGCACTTGAAGACTCATCCCTCATGCATAAAAAAACATCCACAGTCAAGTCGAGAGAGGTGAGCATTGGGCTGAATAATTGCAGCCAAAAATATGAGTGCCCAGTTCACAAGATAAACAGTACTGTACTCTATATATTTGATATACTGTGCCGGTAATTATACTGTACTTATCAAAATGGATCTCAAATGTGAAAAACTTTGTGCTTAATGACAATTATCAAAACAAGAGTTTGATCATTCTAGGAATTGCCGTTTTTTTTTATTTTTACTCCAATGTTTTGTCAGAATTTACTCTCAACAGATTTGATATCTGTAACCATCTTTCTGTATCTGATCAGCCATTTCTCAGCTGGATGGTGCTTGCAAATATTTCCTAATTCACCTTCTCCACCATCACCTCGGCAGGTGACTTGCCTCAGCAGCAGCACTCACATAAACATTTATCAGACAATATTGCATGTTTGAATATAATGCATTGATGCTGCACATGAAAAGTATACAGTATGACTTTCAAATACCTTTAATAGTTTAGATTACTTTATATCAATAGTCAAATAATGTTGTTATTATGATAAAAGTGTGGCACTGGCTTTTCAATTTACAAAAAAAGAAACTTAGAATTTTTCAGTTGAGGAAAAAAAAATGTGAAATAGAATGAAGAAATGGCAAGGACAGGGAAAAATTGTATTGTGAGAAACAAAGGTATATAAGGAGGATGTTAGTAATTACTGTATAGAATTCCAAAGTAAATATAAGCTCGCAACAGTGTGTGAATACAGTATACTGTATATAGAAGTTGATTATATTCTCAGTTTAGAGTGAGAATGTGCATTATACTCTTTGACACTTGAATGGATCCAAGCATTTGGTATAGGAGAAAACACCATTTACATGTGGGTAATGGATAGCAGGCTTGATAAATAGTATACTGAAGAATCCCTGATAATAAAGTGGCAATTTTACCTATTTTTGTAATCTATGGAACAGATCATTTAGTTCATCTTCAACAATCTCGTGTAAATGGCTCCTCTTAAAATTAAAATGTTCAAGCAATGTAACACAGGAGACTATACAGTACTAGTCATAAACTGCAGCTCTTGTCAGAATAGCTTCCCTTCTATCTTACTCTCTGCTTAAATATCCTCCTCACACTTATTGAACTGTGGTGATCCTGAGGCAAATCTTTTATACTATACTTTCAGATCTTCCTCTTCAATCTGGTATTTACGGTACCTGTACCTGAAAATACTTTAAACTAGATCAACTTGCTCTAGAAATTTATATCTATTTTATCTTCTTCCCAATGTATTCATATGTTAGGATTTCTAATAATGTACTCCCAAACATTTCAGACAGTGATTATTTATAACTTTCATATATTACAGTGCAGTATACATGCTACAATATTGTATGTATGTGCAGTCATTATCATCATCGTTGTTTTCTGGCCATTTTCCGAGCAAAAATTGTTCTTTATTTTCGATTCAGGGATTTTTAAACCTCTCAATTCTAGAGGTTGTCACAAAAATAGAATACTTGCCCTTTCTTATCAGGCTTTTATTATAGTGTTCTTCAAACAGCATGGTACTGTACTTTCAACTGTATTATTTATCTAAGTTTGAGAGCTCATGATGACCGTAGGGAGAAATAAAGCTGTGAAACTTCTTAGTACTGAGATGAGCTCAATAAATGACTGTGATAAAACAATACTACTGGCTGTCCTTCCTACCCACCCTCCATCCAGTAACCTTAAGCTTAAAAGTTAGTTAAGACGAGAAACATTTTAGCTTTCGTTTGGTACGTAATTAAACATGTAGATGATGTGCTTAGCTGTCATATTTGGTGTTTTCTCAAATATCAAAACTTTTGTACTTGTTGCTGAGATTACATGACTACTGTATTGGATAAAGAGATTGGTTGTTAATAGATTTTATAACAAAGAACTAAAAGGCTAATTGCTGCTAGATTATATTATTCAAGTCGGATGATAAAATGAATAATAAATAATTGATATAGAAGATTCATTATGGCAATAAATATAGAATGATTTCCCATTATTGGTAACAGTATTGTATTATATTTAGCACAATATTTTGGCATAAACGTTATGTAAGTAAATTTTTTTTTTTTTTTGGAACCTGATTCCATTTTGATTCATTCATTCTGACAGCAAACCATCCTTGGAGATAACATAATGCCATCTCCTCATACACATTAGCTAACCTTTATTGTTGGAACAGAATGATGCATCATTTAATCATCAGGGCTTCAATGTATGGCTTTGCTTGTCAGCTTTCAGAATGTCTTCATCCTTAGCATAGAATATTTATCAAGGCAGTACATAAGATCCATGAATTTACCCAAAAACTTTCTTGTTATTATCTTTTGTTTTTATGGGTAAAGGATTGTAAAGATATTATGTTAGCTTCCAGTTTAAGTATTGTAATTTTTTTTTTCAATAATCACATTCTACATCCCATAGTGTTTTTCATTTCCCAAGTACAAGATGTAACAAATGCTATAAAAAAGGGGTATTGGTGATACTTATTGTGAATATGGATTCAAAGAAACAACGCCTCAGGAAACAGAAAAGGGCAGGAACCTTTGTTTACTTGATTGTGAAATTTATAACTTAACAGGTAAACAGGAACCTAGCTGATCTCCATGTCATGCCCAATATAATAATAAAGTTACGTTTGAAGGAAAATGCTTCAGAAACTAGACATGAGTATGTTGACATGTATGACCACATACCAGTTTTATTTGTCAAAGGAGCGTTGAACTTGTTTGAATTAGGTTGTCTTCTAGTTTCAAAATTAGCCTAGTTGAAAGTGGAAAACTACCGTAGTTATATTAAAATAATTTTGGATGCATGTACAGTACTGTACTCTATGGGCAGATGGAGAGGATAAATTTACAAGTGGACGTATAACATAGAAAATAAAGATACTATACAGTACTACTGTTAGTTGGCATCAAGGAAAAATAACAGTTACGATTCGGAAAAGGTCAATCATGGAACTACTGTACAGTATATTGATTTCGTTATAGAGATATACTGTAGAACAATAAAAATAATAATTATAAAAGGAGAAAACTTTGCAGCGTTTTTGACGGAAATACAGTACAAGCATATATATTTTTCGATTTTTTCTGACTTTTCGATTTTAGGTTTGGTTCGTTAGGTTCCCCTTTTCTTTTGTCTTGTCGAGTTGGATAGGTTACATTTTGTGCTTCATATTCTTCACTTGTGTTAGGGGGCGTGGCGGTAGATATAAACATGGCTCCAAAAGCTGGCCAACGTTGTGTTGTTTGTGGGAAAAACAAAGGAAATGCGTAATAGACAGCTGTTTCATTTCTTCCCAAAATACAGGAAGAGGTAAGTTCATACTTCACGTGGTTGGTTTATAAACAGTGGTGGCCGGTCCGACTAATTACCCAAATGTAGCCGCAATTAAGTCAAATAATGGTCCTACATGAATAAATCGGACTGCCAATCACTTCTCGATTATTATTTGGTGTCATAAAGTCACAAAAAATTGGTAAACTTAATTTAATCTGAGTTGTGTTAGGTTGGTTAGGTTAGGTACATGCACTCGATCTATTAACTCAGATTAAATTAAGTTTACCAATTTTTTGTGAACTTTATGACACCAAATACCAGTCGAGAAGTGATTGGCAGTCCGATTTATTCTTGTAGGACCATCATTTGACTTCATTGCGGCTACATTTGGGTAATTAGTCGGACCGGCAGTGGCGGCTCAATTACAGTTTAATATATCACTTCACCGCTTCGCTTACTAGCCTTTCGGGCGGCAGGTCTCTTATCTGGTCTTCATTGTTCAGTAGCACTCCCCCTTTTATATAGTTGTTTTAGTGTAGTTTTATGCACCCCTTTCAATTGTGAACTAAAAATATCGGAAACCAATATCCACATATTTACGTGGTCCGTGTCGCCGACCACCGGTCAGTGAGGCGAAATGCAAAATTAAAATGGCTGTAAATATTTTTCCTATTCATTTTCGATTTTTTTTATTGCATATTGGGAAAGAGGGGATAAAAGTACCCCAGGTAAGGTGGGTGAGGACAGATAAGGTAAGGTTCCCTCAATGTTTTCTTAGGATTTATAAAAAAAAAGCTAAGTAAATTTGACGTGTAACTTCATTAACTGTCAAGCACGCTTTTCATTTCAAATATGAAGAACTACGGCAAAAACTATAAATTTGTAAATAATAATAGCCCTTAACCTCTTACCACTCCATATTTCTGTCTTAAACCAATAGTTGATATCAGAACAGGTGGCGTAACTCATGTGTACATAATATTGAAAAGGGAAAACAAAAAGAAAGACAGAACACCTGTCCTTGGTATGTCGCCAGGTATTTATATGTAAGACTACGCAGAAATTGTCTTAAGTTTCTTTCCGCTAGTGTTAATTATTGTTGTAGGCTTAATTGCAAAACGCTAAAGAAAAAGGGAAATAATGCCAGTGGCGTCATAACAGCGGTAATCCTTACTTCAATCTCCTCAAAAAACTCAAACGGGATCACCTGAAGATTGGCTAACCAACTTATTTCAAATTTAGATTAACCATGCTAATATTAACCTAATCTAACGTTAACCTATCTTAACATAACCTACCCAAACCTAACCTTATCTAACCTAAGAAACTATCCTAATCTAACGTAACTAACCTAACCCCCCCTCCCTCGATAGCGTAAGGTTGTTAAATAATCAGGTGAAATAAACTGGCCCCAATTTAAGTATTGTTCTCACATTAAACATATTCCTATGAATCTACTATAGGCTGATGTTGACATAGAAAGGATGTAATAAATAAGATTAAGTATTTGTAAAGAATTCCTTATTTGTGTTACATCACATAAATAACATTAGTGTTAAAAAATATCAAGATTACAGAATGTAACATTGATCACATTAATTTTGGCTGGTGTCATTGGCGATTAATCATGTAAAGCATATTTTATGTTGAATAATGTTAGCGGCTGAAAAACTTAAGTTAATGATTACAAAAAAACAACCACTTTAATTAAAGATACACACACACACACACACACACACACATCAGTTAATGATTCACAAAAACTTAAGTTGATGCCAAAAAATTATAAATGAATCACACAATTTATTTTAATGGTTCACAGATGTCAGTTAAAGACTCAAAAACACATCGGTCAACTCTTCAAAAACTTAAAAAAGGCTCCTGATGGCTTCATGGAGTAGGCTGTGCTGTTCAACAATTCCTCTGCAAATTAAATCAGGATTCATATTAATTTGGGAAACTTACATTTATTGTGTTTCATCCCTTCCCCGACTAAAAACTTATATATCAGAGAACATGATATTGCTTCTGTTGTATAATCACTGTTTTTGGTTCAAGTAGGTGAGGAAAAATTTCGTAATGGGAAGGAAGTTTGGCTCAAATACCGGTACTTTGGCGTGGTATGTCTTACGTAATGACCCCCCCCCCCCACACACACACACAAATCTTACCTGGAAACTACACACTCTTAAAGATTTGTCGAAGAATAAAAGTGGAGGACATGCCAACACAATGCCCCTGCCTTGGCCGGTACATTTACAGTACGTAGAGCAATCACTGGCGACGGGCTCCAATTGAAAGATATTATTTAATACGCCATCTGCGCAAGCGCTGGCGTCCTCTGTAGTACAGGGTTCTGTAAGCTGTGCTTCAACATAAAACGAGGAAGCTGCCATCAGCGTCACCACCAAGAAGAACCACAACCTCCCCATCACCTGTCGGTACAAAAGGCCCGTAAGCAGAATTAAATTAGGTCACATTTGACGAAGGTAGCAGGAAGGGAGGCAGCAGGCACCCAACATCTCTTGCACCACCCAACAGGCCTTTCCTTCTTACTGGGGATGGTAATAAATGTTTGCAGAGAGTGAAGGTTATAAGCAGGTAAAGGAGAGGAAAGGGGAAGAAAAACAAAGGGTAGGGCAGGAAAACCGGAAACAAGGAGGGACAGAAGAGATGGAGAGTAACAAATGTATCTAAAGATAGGTTCAAGAAAAGAGACAGAGTGAGAGAGATAAAGGGTGAAATAGTTTTATATAACAGAGAAAGAGGAAGGGGTTAAGTGTAGAGAGATGAAGAATTTTAGATAATTAGCTTAAATACCAGTGCAACACAATAACACTTATTTTATGTTGGATATACCAATCTCTCTCACACTTACCTTGTTGTGGTGTAGGAGCATAGTAGGATAAGTGACGTAAACAACAAAGTTCCTCTGGCTAACTGTTACCCTGGGAACCACTTTTAAAATATTATAAGTTTATCCTCTCAGTCACCAGGGTCGAAAAGCTTACTCAGAAACATCAGTGGATAAACAGACGATTTAGGTCCTGATTCTTGATAATCCTATGATAATATTTCCTCTAAATGCAGACAGCACGGATATCTGGGGGTACGATAGTTAAATGAAAATTGGACCACCTATTTGGGCTGCCATCTTAGTGTTGTAGTGTACGTACATAAACCTGCCAGTTACTTGCTCTTATATCCATATTCGGGTGAAAACTACCGAACGTAATACCTCTTTAAGTATCCGGGATCCTGATTGACTGGTTTCTGGAGTTTGGTTTGTAGGTCAGGGTGACGTGGCGCGGGGTTGATGCGAGTCCCGTTAAAGGCAGCGGAAAAAAAAAACCGGTTCTTACAGGTGAACTTGGCCTGGGTGTGGGAGGCGAGGAGCCAAGCTGAGCGCGACTCGTTGCCATTGTTGACACGCGCTTAGCACACTGTTGCCCCAATATCTTAGGTACCAAATGAGAGTACGGGAAAAATCTATGTAGTACTGTTAGGTGGTTTACATAAGATGACCCACCATCAGTGTTGTTCTTGTCTATTTATCAGTGTTTGTGTCTATTTACTGTTACCTAATTTTCTTTGTTTTATAATATGGGGTAAAAGGAAGCTTCAGAATAGAGAGATAACGGCGAGGGAAAATGGTGTTAAAAAGTTAAAAAAAAATGGCAAGAAAACGTCAACTAAAATAAGTAGCGCACGTGCACACACTCAATAAGTATATAAATTTTCATTGGAGGGCACCGAGCGATGACGGGAGCTCTTCTATTTGTTGGTTACACACACAATAGGGACAAGGACCCATTAGAACTAGGGCCTTACTTGAATAGGGTCCATTTGATCTTTCACCGTCACTAGTGGTTGTAGTACAGATGTATGGTAATGCAAAACAGTCATAGAAAAATAAAACAAATAATTCACTTCGGTTTCTTGACCAAGCTTTTTATCTCCTCTACTTTTTATTCGGGAAGTAGATAAACAAATACGTAGATTAATAGACCTAATTTGCATGCTATAATTTAACAATATACAGTAATTATTAATATTTATCATTATCACATGTGAGCTACTAGCTGAGGTGTTGTATTACGAACATTATATATACACTTCATACTTACACTTACATTGGCAGCACTACAGGGCAGGTCGGTTCAAACTAACAATTAACTAGGTGTAAAACAACTATAAACGCCAATTAGTATTTATGGTTGCCGTGTTAAGGCACAATTTAAAAACCATCCCTCCCGCGAAAATCATCTATCGGCAGGTCGGTAAAAGTTGATAAAGGTTATCAAACAATTATAAGTCTGTACAGTATATACAAATGCCGGTTTTTCACCGCTGATACCGCAAGGAACTTTCACCAAAACATAAATAATAAAAATAATCTCAGTTTGATTGTGGTAGTACTATATCATCTTCCTGCTGGATATTGCCTTCCTTCCTGTTATAACCTGTATATACTGTATACCCGGAAGAAGTAACCGAGGTAATTGTGGGTCAGGTGGGCTGGCTACTCACCAACTTGTCTGGTACCTTGATGTTACAAAAATGCTGTGGCTGCGCCGCGTTGTGGTGATCCACTGCTATGAGGCTTGTACGTTGAGATGGTGTTGAGTTTGAACAGGACTCCATCCTATATAGCCCAGCGGCCACAGCCTATGACGCTCTCCACTGCCAGGCGCAGTTAGCAGATGTTACACACATTTCATCTACAATCACACACTAACGGAATGACGCTACAATTTTGACTTCCACGGAGAGTACAGTAGTGAGGGAATACAGAAGACTAAGTGTAATCACGGTACACACACACACACACACACACACACACACATGTAGTCAACAATAAGGCAGCTGGAAACTTTGAGGACATCAACCTGGACGGGAGGGCACTCCACCCCGCCACGCTGCATTCCTCGACTGTACAGTACATGCACCATTATTATTCCTCTCGTTACTCAGGGTTACGTAAACAGACGCACATGACAAGAATAATACCTGTGATAATTTAATGTTAAAACCACACCAACGGAGCTCAGGCCACAACTTTCCCGGGTTTCTCTTGCATCTTGCAGGAGGGAACTAACAATTTCATGGATGTTAAGGGGGGTTCGATGCCCTAAATTTATAATATATGCAGTTTCTTTGTAGGGAGGAACTCCATAGCAGAATCTTTCATATTTGTATAAAACATTTTTCTTATGTTTGATTATTTATATTATATTATATAACAGCAATAAACATTCCATGTGAAATCAGATTGCTTCTTACATATATTTATTTATATAGAAACATATTTATCATAGAAAGTCTTAACACTGCAGTAAAAGAAGGTAAATTTCTCGCTAAACACGAACAATGAAAGAAAGTTTAAAGGAGTTTGAAGGCGTTATGTGGTGTATGTTGAGTTAGTTAAGGGGATTCTGTGGAGATTTAAATTGGTCATATAAAGTCTGAAGGAGCTTTGAGGAGCTTTGAACAGTTTCTATGGTATTTGTGGGGTCCTATGGCGTTTGAAGGCGCGTCAACGTCCGCCTTAAGGACGGGGTCGGTCGCCACAGTCCACCTGAAACACGTCAACATTAGATTCACATTAATTTGGTGACATTCAGGACTTTGTAAGGTGAAGAGACTTTAAGGCTCATACAAGGACTACCACCTCGTAATTCAAGATGTGAAACTCTTTTGTACACAGGTGTTTAACTTAAGATAAATCTCAAAAAAGTTATTAACATTATACTCAAACTCACTTACGTTCGCTAAACACCAATTAAGGAAAAAATTAACAAAGAAAATCTTGTGTTAGTTTTGTCCCCTAACTGGTGCTATGTGAGCGTTTCTCTTGATCGCGTATATTTCGTTTAATTTTGTAATTTTTCTCTACACAAAAAAAGTTACATTAAAAAGCTGAAGATTTTCACATGTACGTATTTTAAATGACTTGTTGTTATATATTATAGCCAAGAACTGAGTTACAAGAAGAAGAAATAATATTTTGAAATATTTAGAGATGTTGAGTAATATTGTAAATCCCGTACTGAACCTTTCTTTGTTTTTAGCACCCAGTCCGTCACCCCCCTCTCTCTCTCTCTCTCATTAACCCCCATCTCTCTCTATCTTTAACCCCCTTCTCTGTCTCATTCATTCAGTTTCCTCACCATATTTGGCCAGTTGCAGCTCTTGATTGTGTCATCCCACACCTGACCAGGGTAACACATCATCCTCCAGGCTACACCACCCTGGTCATACCCGCAGAAATTAGAGCAGTCTTAAGTATCAGCGAAGTACATCTGGGACCCGTCTGGCGGGTTAGAACAGAGGGCGAAGACTTCAGGAGAACAAGGGATCAAGGACTGGACATAAGGCGAGTAGACTATCAGCAGCATCACCGTCAGCAGCACCCAAAAGGCCCTCATCTGTTGTGTGTTAATAATAATAATAATAACTGGTGTTTTGTGTCTCAGAAGTGGCAGTTCTTCTAAAAAAAATCACTGGCGCTCAAAACACTACAAAGTCAAAGGCTTGAGATTTACAAGAAACACTTTGCTACAATAAAAGTAAAACAAAAAAAGTGACAGTTCGACTTCTCTCATTCATTCATGTTCCCTTAACATTTAATACTTTATAACCCGGTAACTCATCCAAAAAACACACGAACAACACCTAGAAAAAAGAAGAAATAAGACTCAGAGTCGTTAGACCATCTGAGTAATACAGTGCAAGAATGGAGAAACACCCCAAGAATGATCCAGAAAAAGAATGAAGACAGCAGCTCTGGCCGAAATAACCGAAAGGCGAAGTGACCAGAAATCACCAAACAAGCCAACCCGGTAATTCTCCATCACCGTGTTGCATATTACAATCAGATCTTTCATCTCTACGGAGCCTATTAGTGGAGATAGTCTACTAACGCCATGTGTAAGGGTTCCCCTCGGAGCTGAGTAAAATCGCCTGGCGTTAGCCAAATAAAATATAGCCAGGCCACAATAGGAAAATAATTAAGACATTAAAGCATTCTATGCCTGATTTTGGACTACAGTACACCCAGCACATGCTGCTGTGGGTTACCTAATAAAACATTAACAAACATACTTTTAACTTGTCAATTCAATTTCAATTTCAATTGTTTATTCCTTGATAGAGGAAGCGGGATCCTAGTGCTGTCACTAGGTACCCCTGTACAATGACACCAGAAGCATCTGGCAAGTGTGACAAGTATATACAGTATAAATATTATAAAGGGGCTTACTAAAGCCTAAGGAAGGAAGGATATTCCTTTAACACATAATCAATGTTATTTACATAATATCTGGCCAGTATGGGGAGGATCATCGTGTCTCCGTCAGGGGGTCGTGGAGTGGTGGTCCAGCAGGCGTCACGGAAGCGTTGTGTGTGGGGACATCTTAGGAGGGCGTTTAACTTGTCTCAAAACATTCAGGTTCCATAAAGTTCATTTATCTAATCCTGTAAATGACTGGTGTTCTTTTACCGTTTCTGATAAATTTGAAAGCCGATGATAGATACATATAACGTTGTTAGAAACACTTATATCAGTATTATTATGTAAGAATAATACTGTTGGTTATATTTTTATTTGAGGTGGTTGTTTGGTTATTATTGCATAGGTGAAACAATATGATTTTATGATCTATAATGTCAACGGGATTTACTTAGCCTAACCCTATTAGTCCAAGGGCTTGCCTTCAGTTCGATAAAATCGTCAGGCGTTAGCCAGAAAAAATCCCGCTACTGTGAACCGTAGAATTTCAATTAGACATGAGGGTTGTGGCCGCACGAGCAAGTTCGCTTCGGAGCCTTTTAAGCGATCTGGTTATGGAATATAAAACTGATGTGTGTGTGTGTGTGTGTGTGCAATACTACTACTACTACTACTAATAATAATAATAATAATAATTAACGGTTCATTGAAAGAGCATAACAGCCGGAAGGCTGAAAATATATAGTTGCATAATTGGGGAATGGGTCTCTTAATTGACAAATGATATACTAGTAACATATGTGATACAAATATGATATATAATAACTAGGTGTGTGTGTGTGTGTGTGTGTGTGTGTGGAAACCCTGCCAAGAATTATCTGAAAAGGACTAGGAAACAGCTGTAGACTGACACTTGATGTAATGATAATAACTACAGTATTCAGACGTTGGTTCACAGCGTCCTCTGAAGGGTTGTTGTCTTTATCAGTTTTCTAAAACGCACAATTCAGTGAGAAAGAAAATTAGACAAAGGATTAATTATTTGTGTTACTCGTTGATACTTGTTGTTGAATACATTTAACCTCCTTAGTGTACAGGAATAAATAAAAACAAGAAAAGGAGTGAAACAGATTACATACAAAGTTATGGAATGTGTAAAAAAATTTAAAGTTAGAATTTTCCTCCTGACTGATTCCTCTAGTTGTTGTGGCAAACTTCCCTATTTCCTATACCATTTGTCATGGGAAATCCTGTATTCCATAATGTACTGCAAGTGATATACAACTATTTCTATTTTACGCTCCAAGACAGAGACTTTCGTAGACTATTTCCACTAACCTTTTCACTTACGGGGACGCCACTTTTAATATTTTATCTAACTAACCCCAGACGAATTTATTCAGCACATAGCACACATAAGGAAGTAAGGTATCTAGTGATGTGAACGAGGATACGGACACATTATCAAACCCCGACCATCGTATGAGTTACATAAATTGCTGCCAGTCATTATCCGTTTCTGTTACGTTAACAACCGAGCAGCGTCACAATGTCAGGCCAGCTGATTGATGACGTCAGGGATATGGTGAGGAGAATGTCGACATAATCCAAAGTTGATTGTTCCTCCGTCTTCCCTTCCTTAACAAACAGACGTCGTTGGCGATAATTTCGATAATTTTAACCTGTGTACACAATTGCACACACAGACATTCTCACACACACGCTTTCACTAAAACACACACACACACACACACACACTATAAACTTAACAGGGGTAGAAAAAATAATGCTACTGACAACGAGAATCTTACTTTACGAGATAAATCGATAACACCACATGACTCTGTGACTCAGTGTCCCCTTTACTAAGATAACACTACAATAGACGTGTTTAACAGCTGGCAGTTGATGAGAAGATGTAGCAAGAAGGAGGATATGGTCGAGTGTTCCAGGTGTGAGTTCCCAGGCGAGCAGGAATATATACGAGTAGGTTGGCCAGAGTAACCTTGTGCGCTCTTGTGTATAGGTAGAGACTAAGCAACGTCACCTCCCCGCCACGCTCGTACACCACAACAGGGTATGTGTGTGAGTGAGTGTGTATATTAGTGTCTCTGTGTGTGTATTTTAGTATCTGTGTATATTTCAGTGTGTGTGTGTGTGTGTGTATATTTGGTAATAATCATATTGCTTTGTTTGGGTATTCTTGGTAAAATTGATTTACTGTTTGCCATTTGTACTGTTTTGTGTACATTTGTGTATACTTTCATTATCTACGTATAGTGTTTATATACCTGCAATATACACTATATGTATATCGTTTGTATATGTGCATAATATAATGTACATTGTATGGTTGCAGTGTATATGTAAAATTGTAAATTGTTCGTATACTTGCACTGTCTATGCACAAGTACATTGAATACCTACACTAAATGCCGTTATAAGGTGACAAAATCTAAACTTGCATCACTTTTACGATATATATCTATAACAATCTACACCCCAACAGATGACGATGATCTGCTGGGGAATTCTGACGGCGACGCTGCTGATGGTCTCCTTGCCTTGTATCCAGTCGAAGAACCACACCTCCCTCTACCGTTGTCCTGATGAGGTCTCCGCTCTATGTCCACCCACGCCGGGAGAGCAGCCAGAGTACTTTGCCCATCCGAACAACTGCGCCATGTTCTGCGAGTGTGGGTTAAGGGGTGTGGCCTGGGAGCTGGTGTGTCAATCTTCGCTGCTCTGGGATGACACTATCAAGAGTTGCAACTGGCCCCAAATGGTGAGGGAGCTGAGAGATAGATAGAATTAAAGAGAAATCATGTTAGGGAGGGAGAGGAAAAGAGAGAGGAAAAGAGAGAGGGTGAGTTGAGTTAGGGAGTGAAAGCAGTCAGAGAGAGAGGAATCGAGGGTGGGGAGGGAAAGGAAGATTAAAAAGAGAGAGAAAATGATGAGGGAGAGAAGGAAAATATAACAGACAACAGAGAGAGAGAGACAATATTGACATGAACTATTATTTTTTCTTTTCAGGTGGACTGTGGATCACGGCCTATTCTTTAAACGTCCGGGACTCAGTTAAGGCGCCTCAAGCACCATTCTCCCCCCTCCCCCCAGACAAACAGGTTGTTGTCGATCGTTCTTTAAAATGATTATTATGGCGGTTCATAATAATAAGTATGTTTGTGTAATCTTATCCGAGTTTAAACGAGGGAAAACATTAATTCCTAGATTACCATAGTCCTCCCTAGGAATTTGGGGAACCTAGTCCGTTTTCTCTATTGCCACCTGCCAAATCTTAAGGTTATTGAGGATATCCTAAAAAAAATAAAAATAAACAACATTCATTAATTATCATTCCTGTCTTCTTTGTCGCTTCCCACAGACTTAATTCATTATGTTACCAAATCAGGTAGTTGTACTCATCTTAATTTCTTATTGTTGATGACTAGTGTATTAACTAATCGAAAATACGCTTTTCAAGACCTTCGATGTTGAAGTGCAGTAGCCTGAAATATTTAAAAAAAAATATCCTATCTGCCATACCACCTAAATGCTGAATCATACGATCTCGAGGCCTCTGTAGCCCATGATGTCATAGTTCATCGACCAATAGAAACGAAGTGACTATACATTATCTTGTAGTTTCTGTTAAAGCTGCTGACGTGAAGAATAATATTATCCCTCAAATCCTGGAATAGTTTCGTTCTTAGTTAAATTTGTGGGTGAATAATTTTGTTGTTTACCAAGATAAAATACATACGTTGAAAGCAGAAGCCAAACAACAACAGCAATGAAAGAATAAAAACATATACTGTAAAAAAAAAAATATCTCCCGAATTCCTTTAGAAATGGACACTCAAAGTAGAGAAAAAACTCTATTGATCTCCCAAGCCTCCGAGATGTAGTTATCTTCACCACTTTCCTTGTCACACTCTTTTCACTTCACACAAAAGCAAAACGTGAAAAAATTTATAACTTTTAACTTAGCCTCCAGACCAGAAAAAAGTAAGGCAACATAGTGCTTAACCCCCCTGTCCCGGAGAGCGGCATAGCTTACTGGTAATACATTAAATTCTCGTCCATGTTCACTTTGTGTGTTGCGGCAGAGTTCAGTTTACATTAATGGCCAGAGCCTTTTTGTTAGGGAAGTTGGTAACTGGCCACATTTTTTTTTTCAATTTGTTATACTGTAAAGAATTATACAAACCTCCTCCCCATACTGGCCAGATATTTTGTAAATAATATTGATTATGTGTTAAAGGAATATCCTTCCTTCCTTAGGCTTTAGTAAGCCCCTTATAATATTTATACTGTATATACTTGTCACACTTGCCAGATGCTTCTGGTGTCATTGTACAGGGGTACCTAGTGACAGCACTAGGATCCCGCTTCCTCTATCAAGGAATAAACAATTGAAATTGAAATTGAAAGAATTATATACTGCATTATTCCACTAAAGGAATTTGGGGTTAAGCAATTTTTTTTACCATAACGACCACCACCACCACCACCACCACCACTACTACTACTACTACTACAGCTGCTGCTGCTACTACTATTACTACTACTGTTACTACTACTCACTACTACTACTACTAATGATAATAATAATCTAATACTGCTAACATTAATACTATTATTTTATAGAAGAAAAGGGAGTGAAAATGTGATATTAGCTTTCGCGTTCAAGTTAACGCCATCAGCGGCTACAGAACCGCCGCAAAAATATTCAAATCAATGTCTGCTAATAATAATTGAAACCATTCACCACGATCGCATGAACTGAAATGGATAATACTGTATCTTGATATGTCAGTTTAGATTTAATGCAATACTAGATAACACATTTTCACTGCGGTTGCATTTAATAAAGAAGGAAAAATATAAATAAACAATTCAATTGATGTCATAAATACTGAATAAAATGTCTTGATATAAAAAAACTAATATTTGAATATAATAATTATAATATAGTAATTCAATTAATATTTAAATAATAATAATTGTTTTTTCAATCGGATGTTTTGATCATTAATGAATTCACCAATACTTAACTGTTTCAATATGGTGGAGTGTTCTAGGCGTTCCTTGGGTCTTTTCTAGTGAATTGTAGCAGTAATGCGCTCTTCTGAATAAGTCGAGGTGAGTTACTATTAGCTTTGGGTCAGGCGAAAAAGTATTAGCACTGAAAAATGCTGCTGGTGCATCGACACCACAGAAACTAGTTGACTTTATGACAGCCCGCTTGGTGGAGTGTGAATACTGTATTCAGAGCTCTAGTAAAACCTCCCCAGATACCTCCACCTGATCCCTGCCTGCTCGTGGATTATCCTTTGAATCTTTGATCAAAAGCTCGTAATAGTTGAACATTCGGAAATACCTCCATCTGACCGCTACTCTGGCTAAGCCAACACTCGCTGGCCGCCACTGTCCACACTGCTCACTAATCACAGCTGCTCACGCTACAGTGGCTCTGTCAGTTCGGGATAAACGATGGATGCGCCCCTGAACCAGCAATTGGAAAATTATTGAAGATAAAGGTTTTCTTACCACAAGTAAAGTCCACAAAAGGGAAGGAATAAGCATTTCGTAATATTATTTTCCCACTTTCTCCGTCCCAACATTTGCATGGCCGCGCGCTACGACTTGCTAACTACTACTTCATAATATGATTTATCAGACAAAATGTACACTCACCTCTACCCCTACTCCTGACTCGATGGAAGTCGTAGCCTTGGCTTCATACCGAACGCTCCCCCCCCTCTCACTAACCCCCCCACCCATCATTCAGTGGTGCTATGTGGTAGCTCGAAGCTTCGCTGGATTGTACGAATAGCAGTTCATGATATAATATTTGAGAGAATATTGCACGATACAGATTTTTTAGCGACTTCACGACACTTTATTTACCATCACTATACTTAACATCATTATACAAGAAGGATCGTTCGGTTTGCAGCCCTGACTACAACTTCCCTCGAGGCAGGCGTAGGGGTAGAGGGTGCGTCGAAACTATGGTGTGTGTGTACAAACCAAAACTACCTTTAACTTAAACTAATATAATCCATTATTTGGGGCCTTTCTTGAGATTAGAAAACATTAATCTTCCAGAGAAGAATTCCCTCAAGTTACTCGTTAATAGGGCGCAACAGTCGTAAAGTATTACCCCCGTGGAAGTAGTATAATATACAAAGGTGCCTATTAGTAGAGGTACTTGCCTGATAAGTGGGTGACGCGTTTATATAAAAGTTCAGTGTCCCAGAGAGATTTATCTTTTTAAATGTTGACAGCTAGAGTAAGTACAGAGACTACATGTTTAAAGATCTTAAAGACTACACGCTTAAAGATCTTAAAGACTACACGCTTAAAGGTCTTAAAGCGCAATAATATAGAAATCAACAAGTTTAAGAATAGGTCAGGCTAGATGGTGATAAGATAGGCTAAGTAAGATTAGTTAGCATAAATGATATCAGACTAAAGATAAATTTGACTAGAACAGCTGATACTACGGTTGGGCTAGAATAGATTACGTTAGATTAAAATTGATTATATTGGCTAAATGTTATAATAGGTTAGGGATAGGCTAAGCTAGTTTAAGGTTAGCTTAGACTTACGTTGCTAGGTTAGACTGTGTTAGACTAGGCTTAGTGTGGCTAGACTATAGTAGACTAAGCTAAGTTAGTTTTTATATTGCATTAGGCTAGGCTGTTAGGTTAGCCTATATGCTGTTAGGTTAAGTTAGGTTTGATTATATTAGGTTAGGGTAAGTTAGGTTGGTTTATAGGGATAGGTAAGTTAGACTTTATTAAGTTAGGCTGAGTTATGTTGAAGTATATTAAGCTAGGTTAAGATAGTCAAGTTAGGTTCTGGGGACTTGCATCTTATAGCCTTGTGATGGACTCCAGCATCCACAGACGGCTTCGCAGGGACCACACGTCAACGCTCGTAAAAAAAGAGAGTATTTTAGCTGTTATCTTCCTCTTAACATGCAGGAAAAGGTTATTACTGAATTAAGATGAGCGAGAGAGACGGAAGAGGAGGAGAGGTGAATCGTGAAGGAAGGGGAGAACCACGGATAAAACAAGGCGATTCACGTAACTATGAGCCGTTCTGTGTCTATGTATTCTAGGTAACTTTCTTCTCCAACACAGTTCGTCTTTTGTAAATCATCATTATGAAAAACATTTTGTGCGCCAGGAAAACACGGTAAGACCCGTTCCACTCAGCCCGGGGCCAAACCACGCACTTAACAGTCATACGCCGTGACCTCCTAATACAGTATTGGGTTCTGGATGGGTGGTGGGGGATGTCGATAGAAGGGATTTTACGGTTAACAAATTTATTGACAAAGCTTGGAGTACAATTTGCCTATTCTGAGTAATTCAGTCAGGTCTTGACACTGGGGGTACTATCACTTTTCACTGCCACGCAGGACAGAGGTTCATACACAAGGAAATACATCATATTCATTTACAGTATATATAGGTCACAGTCAGAAAGGGAATTCGTTTGGAAGGGAAAGCAAGAGTGACGAGGGAGGGTTTGGGATAGAGGAGGGGGCTGGAAAAGTGAGGGAGTGAGAAGAATTGAGAGTGGAGGGAGAGTGAGAGGAAGGGGGAATCTGATGTTCGTGTCAACAGTAATTTGCATAAATAATTATTCGTAAATGACGTGTTAGGCACAACCCTCCCTACTCTCACCCCTTCATCCTCTGTTTCTCCTTCCTCTCTACTGCTTCCTGTTTTTATATCCCTCAGTTTCATACTATTTTATTTTATTCCTGCTCTCTTTCATTACTTGTTTTTGTATACCGCTCTCAATATCTGTCTCCCTTTGTACCGAAAATAACACAAGTAGCCAGGCTAGTTGTGTGCCAAATTCGAAGCAATTTGGTTCAGCCATTGTCGAGATTTCGTCCGGATAAGAAAACAAGAAAAGAATCATCTAAACACGCAAGAGAACATTAGTTCCTTAAATGGCTGCCAGGGGGCTACGTGAACCAAAACAAACCAGTGCCAGATACCGTCAGAGAAAAGTGCGCCACATAATTAATTATACTTTAATCAGGTATATATTTATCTGGTACAGTAGGACCAAGGTCAAGATTCACAGAGACTCCGCCTGTTAAATTTTGTCCCTTAACTGGTGTTAAGAGATCTGATCTAGTTAGGGAAATGTCTCACTGTAAATTTCATTTAATTAAAAAAAAAAAAAAAAAATTCTTATCTTAAGTCGACCTGGAAGATGCAAATATACGTCTTACTTTATCCGGAAAAAAAAATAAAAAAATTATATAAGTGAATTTCTGAGAATCCGAAACAAGATTTGCACTTGAAAAAAAAAG